CTGCATCTCCTACCCGTCAGTGACTTGACCCGGAAATCTGGGGAATTTGGGTTTCCTGCCCAGCCTAAGGAACACGTGAACCTCCCTTAAACCGAATTGGACCACTGGTCAAAAGCTCACACCCTGAAAATCTGGTTGGACTCAAAGGCCCTACGGCGCTCGCGGTACCTAGCTGGTCTCCTGCTGTCCAACATGGCGACCGTCTGAAACTCTCCTCTGGGGAGAGCCAATCTCTCAACTTTCTGGAAGAGAGGACCACCGCGTGTGTCTACGCCCTCTTCCCCTTCATCTCCCCTCCCCATTTGCCGAAAGCTGGGAACAGGCACAAAAGACATCCCCATCTCAACCCGCCACCCCCCCCCAGCAAATCAGAACAGAGCATCCTCCCCCATTCTGTTTCTCTTGCTCTTTCACCCCAAAGTGACCCGGGAGGAGCCTGTCCCCACCCCCAGCCAGAGAAGGAGAAAGCTGGAAGCGAGGATGAGTTTTCCAGCTGAGAAAAGAACTAGTGGTGTGGGGAGAGAGGGGGGAAGTGGAGGAGGAGGAGAAACAAGATGGGAGAGGAAAGGGAGATGGCAACAGGGCCTCTTGCATTCTGACAAGTCTATTCCCTCCTTTGCACTGATTTATTGGTTGGGGGAGGGCAGCCGGGTGCACTGTTCCCTCTAAGCTGAGTTGGTGTGAGCCAGCTCACAGTCCTTTAGCCTCCAGCTCACACATTTATGTCTCAGCTCAGGAAGGAGGGCTCCAGAAGAGCAAACTAATTGATGCAGCAGCCAAACCCCTCGCTCACAACTTTATTGCCAGCAGCTCACAAAGTAGGATTTGTGCTCACGAGACTCCACAGAGGGAGCATTGGACCAGGGCAAACCACCTCTGTTTATCTCTGGCCGTGACAACCTCACATAACTGGGATCCCAGCCAGTGTTCCCTCTAAGCAGAGTCAGTGTGAGCTGGCTCACAGTTTTTTAGCCTCCAGCTCACACATTCTTGTCTCAGCTCAGGAAGGGACGGCTCCAGAGCAAACTGATGTCTGCAGTAGCCGAATCGCTCGCTGACAACTTCAATGCCAGTAGCACAAAAAGTAGGATTTTTGCTCACAAGACTCCACAGCTTAGAGGGAGCATTGCTCCTGAGCAGCGTTCCCTCTAAGCTGAGTTAGTGTGAGCGAGCTCACCATTTTTTAGCCTCCGGCTCACACATTTTTGCCTTTGCTCAGGAAGGAGGGCTCCAGAGCAGAATAATTGATGCAGGAGCCCAATCGCTCACAACTTTAATGCCAGGAGCTCACAAAAGTAGAATTTTTGCTCACAAGACTCCACAGCTCGGAGGGCGCATTGGGCAGGATGGGCTTTAACACAGACAATACGACCCAGATCTCAAGTCATATGCAACGCGCACCTGCTGGCCTTCGACACCCCTGTTGCTCTCGCCGAGGTGGTGGACTGTGACAGGTGTTGCGTGCAGGAGAAAAGGAGGCAGAAATCCACCCCCACCACCATTTCGGCAGTCCCAAGCTGCCCTCGCCGATGCCCGCCTCACCGGCTGAAGGCTGCTAACTTTCACGGGTACATCAGCCAACACCCACGGGGCACGTATGAATCGGCCATCAGGCCTAGATCCCTTTCATCTCAGGGATAATTATGATTCTCATTGGGCTCAGTTCACACTGCCCTCTCCTGCAGAGAGCCAGTTTGGTGTAGTGGTTAGGAGCGCGGACTCTAATCTGGGATAACCGGGCTCGATTCCCCACTCCTCCACTTGCAGCTGCTGAATGACCTTGGGCAAGCCGTAGTTCTGATAAGAGCTGTCCTTGAAAAAAGAGCAGTTTCTGTCAAGAGCTCTCTCAGCCCCGCCTCCCTCACAAGGTGGGGAGGGGAAGGGAGAGGAGTTTGTAAGCCGCTCTGGGACTCCGAGTGAAGGGCGGGGTATAAATCCAATCTCTTCTCTTCTTCTTCCATGGATAGCCCAGGCTAGCCTGATCCTGTCAGATCCCGGAAGCTAAGCAGGGCCGGCCCTGGCTAGTATTTGGATGGGAGACCTCCAAGGAATACCAGGGTCGTGACGCCGAGACAGGCAATGGCGAAACCACCTCTGAAATGTCTCTTGCCTTAAAAACAGGTCTAGTGGTGCACAATGCTAAAGGAGCTAGAACATCCGGCTGCCAGACAATCTTAGGATCTCCTGGCTATACTACACACACTGCCATGCAGTGATGACAATAATAGTTCACACTCTCATCTGCGAGTCTGGAGCAGTGTGCTGTAGAAGAAGAAGAGGAGGAGATTGGTTTTATACCCCATGGCCCTTCACTACCCAAAGGTGTCTCAGAGCGGCTTACAAACTCCTTTCCCTCCCCCTCCCCACCACAGACACCTTGTGAGGCAGGTGGGGCTGAGAAAGCTCTTGACAGAAACTGCTCTTTTTTCAAGAACAGCTGTGCCAGAATTATGGCTTGCCCAAGGTCATCCAGCCAGGTGCAAGTGGAGGAGGAGTGGAGAATCAAACCCAGTTCTCCCAGATTAGAGTCCGCGCACTTAACCACAAATCCCCACAAACCCCCAATCGTGGTCGCTGGCTGACCTTGGGCCAGCCACAGAGAGCCAGTGCAATCTAGTGGCTAGTATCTGGGAGACCCAGGTTTGAATCCCCACTCGACCACGGAAGCCCGTTGGGTGGCCTTGGGCCAGTCACGCACTCTCAGCCAAACCTACCTCACAGGGTTGGTGTGAGGGTAAAGGGGAGGAGAGGAGAATGATGCAAGTGGCTGTGGGCCACCAGTGGGAAGAGAGGTGGGGAATAAACGAATTAAATAAATAAGTGAAATGTCATCACGCAGGAGGGAAATAATAACAGTTGGAATATTTTCCTGAGTATCTCATCCAACGCTCCCTCTAAGCTGTGGAGTATTGTGAGCAAAAATCTTACTTTGTGAGCTCCTGGCATTAAAGCTGTGAGCGAACGATTTGGCTCCTGCATCAATTAGTTTGCTCTGGAGCCCATCCTTCCTGAGCTGAGACGAAAAATCTGTGAGCCAGAGGCTAAGAAACTGTGAGCTGGCTCACACTAACTCAGCTTAGAGGGAACATTGATCTCCTCTGCCTTTCCTGTTTCCAGTACTTCATACAGCTTGGGCATTGCCCAGAGACATGAGCTGTTAGGCACAATCCAAGGGGCTCTGAGGCTTACCCACCTTGCAGGGGTGTTGTGAGGATAAAACAGAGAAGGGGAAATCACATGCACTGTGCAGAGGAAGCCCAAGATAAAGACGCCCTGGAGGGAGAGGAGGTCAAGGGCGCCCCAACGAAGGGACTTGCTCCGTGGAGGAGGCTGGAGAAAACACGGCCACGTGGGCCCTTCTGGGACTCCATTTGAGAATTTTTGTAAAAAGCAAAGGCCCAGATCCATGCCGCCGTTCCATTTTGGAAGGGGGCGGGGCGACTCTGGTGTGCTGGGAAGGTCCCCGATGGGTGCCCACCCTCTCTTCCTCCACCGCTGTGGCCTTTCAGACCTTCATGACGCTCCAGCACCCTCCGCGGCTCTGGAGGTAGAAATGTGATTCTAGTAGACAGAATCCTTTAGCCCTGCCTCTGGCCACGTGTAGTAATATTATGTAAAGTAAAGGTAAAGGTTCCCTTGCTCGAAAGCCTGTCGAATCCGACTCTAAGGTTGCGGTGCTCATCTCTGTTTCCAAGCCGAAGAGCCAGCGCTGTCTGAAGACGTTTCCGTAGTCATGTGGCCGGCATGACTAAACACCAACGCGCACGGAACGCTGTTCCCTTCCAACTGAAGTGGTACCCATCTATCTACTTGCAATTCCTTGCTTTTGAACTGCTAGGTTGGCAGGAGCTGGAACCAGAGATGGGAACTCACTCCGTCTTGTGGCACACTCGGGTCTTGAACTGCTGAACTACTGACCTTCCACAGCCTGCAGTTCAGCATCTTGACCACTTGAGCCACCGCAGCTCCTATTATGTAGGCGTATAGAAAAAATGCCTGATGGCAGAACAGCCCAAGCGAGCCTGATCTCAGAAGCTAAGCAGGGTCAGAGCTGGCCAGTGCTTGAGTGGGAGACCTCCAAGGAAGCCCAGGGTTGCTACGCAGAGGTAGGCAAGGGCAAACCTTTGAACATCCTGACCTGAACATCCTGGCCAGTTTGGTGTCGTGGTTAAGTGCGCGGACTCTAATCTGGGAGAACCGGGTTTGATTCCCCACTCCTCCTCCACTTGCACCTGCTGGATGACCTTGGGCAAGCCATAGTTCTGATAAGAGCTGTCCTTGAAAAAGAGCAGTTTCTGTCAGAGCTCTCTCAGCCCCACCTACCTCACAGGGTGTCTGTTGTGGGGAGGGGAAGGGAGAGGAGTTTGTAAGCCACTCTGAGACTCCTCTGGGTAGTGAAGGGCGGGGTATAAATCCAAGCTCTTCTTCTTCTGAACGTGCCAGACTAACACAATCTCAGAAGGATCAGGCCTGGGTAGTCCTTGGGTGGGATACCACCAAGGAAGTCCAGGGTTGCTGCGCAGGGGCAGGCAAGGGCAAGCCACCTCTGACACATCCCTTGCCTGGAAAACCTTACCGGGTAGCCACGGGTCGGCTGCGACTTGACAGCCTTTCACACCACCGCAGAAAAGCATGCCTGACCATACACAGAGTGCATTTCTGTTAGCGGCCAAGAGCTGCCACCTCCTCTCCCCCACAGCCCTGAGAGTTCAGGCCACGGCGACCCCCACCTCTTTCTCGCCTCTCCCAGCCAATGTTCCCTCTAAGCTGTGGAGTTTTGTGAGCAAAAACTCTACCTTGTGAGCTCCTGGCAGTAAAGTTGTGAGCGAGCGATTTGGCCGCTGCATAAATTCGTTTGCTCTGGAGCCCTCCTTCCTGAGCGAAGACAAAAGTGTGAGCCGGAGGCTAAAAAACTGTGAGCTAGCTCACACTAACTCAGCTTAGAGGGAACACTGCTCCCAGCGCCCCCTGCCTGCAGCAGCAGCAGCAGCAGCTCTCACCTGCAGAAGGCGCCCAAATTCTCCACCAGGTAGCACTGTCCCCCGTTGTGGCAGTAGCTGGGGAAGATGTCGCACACAGATTTGCAGGAGTTGTTGTGCCGGACGTAGCCGGTCCGGCAGTCGGTGCCGTTCTCGCCGCTGCCGGACAGGCCCTGTTCCCTGCCGCCGTCAGCCGGGCGGGGCCTGGAGGTGGCCGCCCCGTTCCCCCCGGAGACGACGAAGGTGTGCAGCGGGGGGATGACGTAGCGCCGGCTGGTGGATTCCGCTTCCTGGACCACAGTCTGGATTTTCGGTATCGCCGGCGTGGGGATCCGGTAGTCATTCTCGTCCTCCAGGTCCCGAGCCAGCCCGCCTCCCCCATCTTCCTCTTCCTCGTCGTCCTCGGGCTCCTCCAACTCCTCCTCGTCCCCGTCGCTGTAGAAGGAGGTGGTGGGGTAGAAGTCCGACTCGTCGAAGGGCGTGAAGTCGTCGTAGAGGTCGTGCAGGGACCACGACATGCCTTTGTCGTCGGAAGGTTTCCTCTTGGTGGAATCGGGACCGGCGCCCGCCAAACTGTCCCCGTCAAAGAGGTCATAGTAATCTATGTCAATGATCTCCGAGGCGGAGGGGTCCGAGGACGGCTTCGAGGTCTGGATGTCCAGCACCGAAGGGGTGGCGGCCAACCGGGGCGCTTCGGTATCGAGCCAGGCCAGGTCGGTGCGGCCCTGAGCGCCCTCTGAAGGCGAGCTGCTCGACGAATCCACCCACAATTCCAGAGGCTCCTCCTTCTGGGCCGAGTCCTGCTCCACAACCCTCTCCGCCTCATCTGGCGTCTGGACGGGGGCCCCGCTCAGCGTGGGCGACGGCAGCACGGCCACCCCGGCGGTGCCAAGCAGGAGTTCCCTCTCGTCTGCGTCGTAACTGAGGTCTTGGCCCGCCGGCGAGCTCGTCTCCGTGGCAACCTCCAGGGCGGTGGGGACGGCAGTCCATTCTGCCACCTCTCCCTCGCTCGGGGAGGCCTGGGCGTGGGGGTCTCCACTTCCGGCCTCTTCCTGGCTTTCGGGGAGGGGAGACGCACCCCCGGGCGCTTCTCTCCTCTCCGTCAGCTTCCCGGCGCCGTCTGGCTCCTGGGCTGGCAGAGCAAAGCTGGTGATGCTGGAGAGAGCTTCCATGGGGCCTTGGTGACCCGCCAAAGGGTCCCGCAGTTGATCCCCCCCACCCAGGCAGCCCAAGCAGAGGGTCGTCCCCATCTGGTATTTCTCTGGGTCGTTCTCACCAGGAAAGTACCTCACGGGGAGGCCGGCCCCAGGGTCATCGGAAGCAGCAGAAGCAGCATCTCTGTCCGCTGGGGGAACGGCAGGTGGGGGGCGGCGGGATTCCTTTGGTCCGGCTGCCCGGGAAGAGGCCGGGACCACCCAGGCCTCCCCGGCATTGCTCCTCAGAGGGGCTTGACGGTCCTGCCCAGAGGCCTCTCCGCTTACAGTCACCGGCTGCCTGTTGCCCCCCTGCCAGGGGGTGGCTAGGAGGTCAGTAGCATTGGGGGGCCTCGGCGGTTGCTCCGCAGCTGGAAAAGAAGAAAAGGAAGCCCTTAGCAGTGGCCACCTCCACCTCCGGCCAAAGGTGTGTCCCCCGCTCTGAACAAGTCCAGATTCCCCACACACACACACACACACACACACGTTCCCACCCATGTCTCCTCTGGATCCGCCACAGCGACGGTGGCAAAAATAGCACCCCTGGTTCATTCCCACACATTCTGGCGCTCTGATTCATCGTCTTTTGCTTCCCCCTCATTCCGAGTGTAGTAGAGCAGAATTAATCACAGGCGGCGTCGTTGGGCTCTGCCTCCAGGCACCCCCTCCCCTCCGCCCGCCCCAGCCGGGGAAACCGAAAGGCGGGTGGGTGGGCGCTCTCTCTCTCTCTTCCCCTGGAGACGGAGGCATTCTTCACGTCCAACCAGCCCATTCGGCTGGCGGTTCCATTCCGATGAAGTCCCCCTCCCCTCCAGGGAACCCCAATTACCGGCTTAGGGTGTGTGTGTTTTTTTGGGGGGGGATGAGGCCTGCTCCCAGGTGCTGAAGGGGCCGCTCAGCCCAGCGCCATCCCTCTGGGTTGGCAACCACACCTTGGGGGAGGCACGAAGCTGCAAAGGGGCACTGTGGTGTATCCGCCCCCCTGCAAAGACCCATGCCCCTGTCATCAGGGGGGTCCCAGCCCCTGCATGCCCCTCTTGGAAGCTTCGAGGGGGGCCTGCCCCAGTGCCACCCCTGCAAGACGTGTCTGGTTGGCCCTCTGACCTGGGGGTCTCCAGGCGGACACATCGAGGGACCGGCAGCCGTCAGATGGGAGGAAGTCTCCAGCCCCCACCCCCCCCCGTGTGATGTGGAGGCATCATCGGCAGCCATCTGCAACAGCCCCGAATGGCAGGAGTCTCCCCCCCCACCCCCGCCTTGCCCTCTGATGGGGAGAGGAGGGGGGGTGGGACCGATGGGGGGGTCGCTGGGACCGAGGGGGGGGTCCCTGCGCCCGCAAGGGGGCCGGGCATCAAGCCGGGATTCGGTCGCCTTTCCCGGCCACCCCGCCCCCCTCCTCCTCCCATGGAAAAGGAGAGAGAGAGAGAGTCGGTGGAGAGAGAGGGGGGCGCGGCGGCGGCGGCGGCAGAAGGAGGCGTGTGGACCCGGGGACACGTGTCTCGCATCCCAACCGCTCCTCCACCCCCGATCCGCCGCCTAAGGTCCATCTTGGAAGGGTGTTGTTTTTGCTTTTGGGGGGGAGGTTGAGCCACCACCCCCTATGGGGGGTGGGTTTGAGCCCGGGGAAAAACTGGGAGGGGAGGGGAGGGAGAGAAGACCCGACGAAGAATGAAAGGGGCCGGGGGGGCCACCCACACCCCCACCCTCTCCGTCCCCCGTTC